TACACATCCTCTTTTACTTAATAACATTTTGTTTTGTTTTGTTTTTCTTATAAAAGTATATAGATCCTTTGTGGAAAGTTTGGAAAATTCAACTACAGGCAAAGAATAAAATACAAATGATCTAGAACCCTAAGACATAGTAATAATCTCAACTGAGGCAGTATTTATAGTTGTAATGCAGTATACATCATTATGAAGGTAGAAAATCTTTAAAATGCCTAAGACATTTATGTCTAAATAAATAGATTGTTTTTTAGCAATAAAGCTGCTTTTTAATTGTGGGGGAGGGGTCAGCTTAAAAAGAGAACATTTTTATTAAAATAAAATTCTCTTACCATTTGTAAAAAAATATATTTATAAATATTTATAAATATACAAATTTTACTAAAAATGAAGTATATTTTATACTTCTAAAAAATATACTCCTGCTTTCAGTGTTTGCATTCTCAGTTATTTCTGCAATGTTCTCTGAGATTTTTTTTTTTTTTACCTACTTTAGTTTCTGTGGATTTTGGTTAATCTAATCCATTACTAAGATGGAAAATTGCTTCCAATTTCCTTATTCCTTCCACCATTACCCAAATCACACACCATCTGTTAGCAAAACTACTACAGTGATTATTTAATCTGATCAGTGTGGATAATGACTGAAAGATTAGAGACCTATACTCTTAAACCTGATATATTGCTATTTGATAAAATATCAACTTTTTAGGAAAATACAATCCCAACTAGCAATCAAGCATGGAAGATCATTAAAATCAGTTTTAACTGAACATTTTTCCTTTCTTCTTTGTCTTTGTACCTGGCAGAGGCAAGTAAAAAAAAAATACTTTTTTATTATATTATAGGAATAGACACAAAATTTCACTAGGACATTTTACTAGAGTTACTGAGGAGAGAATGCAGTCAATACAGAGAGAGAGAGAGAGAGGGAGAGACAAATAGACATGCCATTTGAGAGGCCAGTGACAAACCAGTAACATTATCTTGGTAGTGATATCAGTTTTGTAGGGTAGTTTCAAAATTGAATGATTTCACTTTTTGGAGGAGCATGGTTTACCTACCGCAGGCATAGATCTGAGCGCCCAAATGCTCCTGGGACTCACACGGCTCTCACACCCATCTTAGCTCAGGCTCCAGCTGTGCTTCTACCACTAGGATCTGTTTCTACCCTGAGAACACTCTGACACCAAAAATGTGGGATTTTCTCACACCAACAACCAATTCTCTGACTCTCTGGAAGCGACCTGGGTGTCCAATGACTTAATTCAGTTCTCATACTAACTATCCCCTGGTAGTGTCAGACCCCTCAGGTTAAAGGGTTCAGTCCCACAGACTGTCCTCTACTTCAGACACCGATCACAAGTCCAGGCCTCCTGTAGTTCTGACTGACTAGCTATAATATAAGGTCAGAGATTGCCATTCCTCACTCCTTAGGTTTGATAATTTGGTAGAATGCTCACAGAACTCAGGAAAACAGTTCACTTGCTATTACTGGTTTATTATAAAGGACACGACTGAAGAACAGCCAAATAGAAGAGATGTATAGAGCAAGTAATAGGGGCGGGAGGCAGAGCATCCATGCCCTCTCAGGGCCCCCATCTTCTCAGCACCTAGATGTGTTCACCAACCAGGAAGCTCATTGAAGCTTGTTGTTAAGGATTTTTTTGGAGGTTCCCTCATGTAGGCATTATTAATTAAATCATTGGCCATTGGTGACTGACTCAATCTCCAGTCCCTCTCCCCTCCCTGGAGGCTGAGGGTTGGGCTGAAAGTTCCAACCCTCTAATAGTGCCTGGGTTTTTCCGGTGGCCAGTCCCCAGCCTGAAGCTATCTTGAAGACTACACAGAGTCACCTCATGAGCGTAAACTCAGGTATGGTTGAAAGGGAATTATTTTGAATCAATAAAGATGGTTCTTCTTCAGGGCCCCTTGTTGGCTTGAGTTCTTGGAAGAGGCTCGAGTTCTAGGGAAGAGGGTGGCAAGCCTAGGTCCCTGAACTCCAGGCCAAGGTCAGTCTACAGGGTGGTTCTTGCTCAGAGGAACTGTCTGGATGGAATGTAAGCTGGAAGGTCCGTTTCACAAGGGTAGGGATTGCTGTCTGTTTTTTCACTGACGTATTCCAAGGCATACTCAAATCCTGTTTGCCAAATGAATGGCTGTCCTCACTCACAAGAGACCAATTACAGAAATCAAAATTCTAATGTTAAAAATTATTAATATGTTTACTTTATCATATTACAAAAAAGAATATATTCATTATGGAAAATTAGGAAATAGAGATAACTGAAAAGAAGATTTTAAAAAATTCATACCAATAGCCCCACTAGGCAGCCAAAACCACTAGTGAATTTTTAATATACATGTATACTACATTAACTCTTTTTCTATGTGTACGGGTATTTTTTTAAAAAATAAAAATGTGTTATACTGTGTTGCTACACTATAAACTGATTGTTTCACTTGAAACTATATTATTTCTAGCTAATCATGTGAAAATAACATTTACAGTTCTCATAATTATTTAAGGATAAGGATTTTATTTTTGGCATATACCAAAATGTATATAATTGATTCCTTTTTGTTATATATTTATAGTGACGAAAACGCTATAGGTTAGTGACATCCTTAAATACGTTTTAAAAATTGAAATTAATAAATCCATGAGAATACATACTTTCGAGGCTTTTGAAAATAGGGACCAATTGTGTCTCAGAAAGATTGTGTCAGTTTATAGTCCTGCTAGCAGTGTGATGGTGAATAAATCCTCAGGCACCAGATACGATCTCTCTTCTTGTCAAATCAATTAGCTAAAAATGGTATTATAAACAAAATAAAATTAATATTAATGCAGCATCCCATCATTGTCTTTGATTAATGTATCACTTTTGCTTTTGAGATAAACTAGGTTGAAATCTGGATGCCCTCTCTACACAGGCCAGGGGCATGCTGTTTCTTTAAATTATCTTTCTTTGATGTTTGATATTCTCCACATACTTCTTCCAGATATGTTATCACACCAATAGCTATACCTTTATACTATATTAAGTCAAACATCAATCGCTTTTAAATCTAGTGCTTCCAGTTTTTTATCTGGGAGATTTTCTACCTTCGAAGGGGACATTTACAAATTAATGATTTTATTTGTTATGTTAAATTATAAAGTTACATGTCATGTTTAACTTTCAGTGGGTAGCCTTTTACTCTGAGTTTCAAGTTTCTGAGAGAAATTATTGCTAAAGGACCTGTAGCACAAGAATAGTGTGGCTGCATGGGTTACTGAAGGCCTGGCAGGAAATGAGACATGTAACAGAACCGGAACACAGAACATCAGAACTAGAAAGACCCTAGAAATTCCCAACTCGACAGCTTTCACGTCAAACAGAGGTAACATAAGGCTCAGGAAGACATATCGCCAAAGCCCATGGCAATGTTTGTTTGCAGAGTGGCTGTTTATTTAGGTTAAGATACGGTAAATACCACAGTACTTAGGAAAATATCAAGAGAATGTATTATTTTTAAAGCTGTGTTCCTCAAATTATAGGCAACAATTACTTGAAATGGATCACAGGAGGTGCTTGTTACAAATCCAGACTCTTGTCCTCACACTAGGGTCAATTAAGAACTTGTGACTGTGAAATCCAAGAATCAGTGTTACTAACAAACTGTAGAATTGACTCCGGCAAAATGAAATTTGAGAGCTAATGCTTTGGCCAAAGGAAAATCAGCACTGGTGAAAAAGTACTTCACTTTCTTAAACTTTGCAGTGTCCAGTTGAAAGACACTCTCGACTTCCTGAAGTAGAAGTAAAAATCTCTAAAAGCACAGAAAGAGAACCGGAAGTCAAAGACAAATAATCACAGTCACATGACCGACTTCCTGCTTTCGCCCAACTCTCATGAAGGAGAGTGTTTGTTTTTCCTGTGTATTTTTTTGCTTTGAACTAGACTAAAGCAGTGGCTGTGAGAAGTCAACAGAACCACCTGTAAATTTATGGTCCATAGACCACCTGAAACAGATGTCTATCAAAGAACCTACTCAACAATGACAATGATAAGATGGATAGAAAAGTCCAAGTGTGGAAAAATCAATTCTTAGCCAGGAAATGAGGAAAAAGGAACTCTTGCAGTTGGCTAGTCATTGTTGTATGCACCATGGAGAGTAATTTGGCAGTAACTAGAAAAATTGAAAATGTGCCTTGGAAATTGTATGACAAGGTATATTTCTAAATAAATTCTTCATAATATCTACAAGTAGCCCTAACAGGAGCTAATGTTGAGTAGGGCAAAGTTGCGGAGCTTCACCTGTAGCTCTTTTAACAGACACGACAACCCAAAAGACTGATGGGTTTCATCACAGATGAGTTGCTGCAAGGCTGAGTAGCTTGCTAAAGTCACGTGGCTCACATATGGTGGGTCGGGATCTAACCCAGGGAGGCTGACTCCAGCACCCTTATTCTGAACCCCTAGTCTAGGCTGCATCCAATAGTATCATGATTGCTACTGAATTGTGTCCCTCCCAAAACCCATATGTTGAAGTCCCACCTCAGTACACCTCACGATGTATTTAGAGATTAGGTTTTTAAAGAGATAATTAAGGTTAAATAATGTCAGATGGGTAGACCCTGATCCAATATGACTGGTGTTCTTATAAGAAAAAGAAGAGACACCAGGGATGCATGTGTGTCCCGGCCAGCGGGACAAAACAACGCGGGATGAGGAGGAACCTATGGAGGATGAAGGCGAGACAGGAGACACAAAGAGACGGAGGCAAGACAGTATTCTGATCAAGCCTCAAACTTTATTTTTCAGCGGGGATATTTATACAGGGCTAACAAAGGGAGGCGGGGCTAGCTGGCGGAAGACAAGCGCATTGGCTCTTGGCTGGTCCGAGTAGGCGGTGCCACACGCCCATTGGGTCTAAGGGGATGGGGTGAGGGTTATTGACAGCCTAAGGGGTGTGTGCTTAGGGGGAGGAAGTGATGAAAGTTAAGGGAAGTAGGGCTCTGCAATGTCGGAGGCAGGCAAAACACCCAGTCCTGCAACCAAGCCTCCGCGGCCCGAAGACCCGCGGCTCCCCACACATGTGCACAGAGAAAAGTCCACATGAGAACAAAGAGAGAAGGCAGCCATCTGAAAGCCAAGGAGAAAGACTTTAGAAGAAACCAAACTGCCAACACTTTGATCTTGAACTTCCAGCCTCTAGAACGGTGAGAAAATAAATTCCTATTATTAAGCCATTTAGTTACTATATTTTGTTCTGGTAGCCTTAGCAAATGAAAACAGATACTTGCAAAGATATGCATAGTCACTTTATTAGTGACTACTAGAAACAAATTCGATAATCAATTATTAGAAACAAATTCAGTAACCATTTATAAGAGGAATTGATACGATGGATCCCTGTAAGGGCATTAAACAGAATGAGCTTGATTTTTATGCTTTGATATGGATAGATCTCGAAAACCATGTAAGTGAAAAAATGGTGAAGAATGATATGTAAAGTACAAAACCATTTATGTGAATTTCAAATAAAAATGCAATAGCTGTATAAGTTGATATATACTTTCGATGTGATTTTCCCATATTGTGTGGCATTGTCCCTAGAGATAAGCAGGAAGTGGATCTGGGCATGGGGGACAAATGGAAGTTCGAGCTTATCTGGCGTAGTAAAAACAATTTAAAAAGTTCTTTAAATATAAATGAAATGTTAATATTTGTCATTCTGGGAAATGGTTATGTGAGCATTCATTAATTACTCTTTCAGCTTCTGTATATTTTTTATTTCTCAAAATCAAGGTAGTCTTAGTAATAGAAAAAGAATACTGTTGTTGGTATTAGGTCAGTGTAGTCCAGAAATTCCTTAGGAGACATTAAACTGACAGTTTTTATTTTGTTCTGTTTTCAGCACAGTACAAGTGATTTAAACAAATTTCTAAAATATCGTCCTGGGAAATAGAACTTTAGAAATATTCTGGCCACCAGAAATGTTTTTATTCTGTTATTTTACAGTATTGTTTGTATCCATATGTCTAAAATCGGCCTCGTTTGAGAAGTGCTTTTGTCTAACACAAATTTCGAAAGGCATGGAACTTTTGTCATGTGATCACGTTGCTAATTAAGTTGAAAATCATGAAAGGCCGTGATGAAGCAGAACATTTATTTTCTCATGAGCTATTCCACGATTTAGGCGCAGTGCAACAACCGCATTAAGTAGAAAATTTTTCTTCACATCGGGGTTTTTGCCCCCACTCATCCAACAAGTAGGAGAAACACGACAAACTGGAAGTCACCATTTTCAATAGTACCACTTATGAGCAATACCTATTTTTCTTAAATGGAAAAAAGAAAGTTCTCACAGCCAAATATGGCTGGGATCGTGACTTCCAAGCTCTTCTCCTAATAAGAGAGACAGTGTCTTCACTTGGAGCTCAGCGGAAAGTATATGGGCCTGGGAGTGAGACAGAAGTTGCTTCAAACTCCCCTGTCAGAACTTGCTGGCAAGATGACCTGGGGCAAATTACCTCATCACTTTGAGCCTCAATGTTTGGATCTAAAATGTAGAAATAGTTATCATTACGATTCAGATCAAAGCCATATAAGGTGGTGATTAAGAGTATGAATCCTGGAGCAGACGCCTGCCTTTAAAGTGTGACTGACAACTTCCCAACCACGTGACCTTGGGACACCACTCACATCTCTCTGTCCTTGACTTTGCCCAACCTATAGGAAGAGAATCATGACAGTACCTACTTCACAGGTTGTTGGAGAAGCCAATGGGTATATATATATATATCTCGCAGAATCATACCTGGTACATTCTTAGCCTTCACTATGTGTTACTTACCACAATTATTATACCATAGTTATCGTAGGATTGGAAATAACACATGAAAAATGTGTGGCACTTAATAGGGTTTTATAAACAACTGCTATATTCCAGCCCCAACAAGGAGTATTTGACAATTTGTTTTAAAAAAGATAGAGAGTAAAGTTGGCTGTACAATTAATACAAATAGTCATGAATCAAAAAATTCTCGATGAATGCTCTTTCCCAGGCCTTAAACTATGTCCTCATCTTTCGATCACGCTTTTCCAAATGTGTGGCATTAATTCTTTATGCCTCCAAAGCTGCCTTTAAGATATAGAAATGTCATCGGTCTCTGTAAAAAGAGATTCAAAACCTCCAAAGAGAATGTAATAATCCAATGTTCAACCCTTCTGGGGATTAGACTTGAGGTGTTAGAAGCTGCTGAAGCTGATGAGTCTGTCTGAGAAGCAGTCATTTACAATACCCCTGTGGCCTGGCAGAGTTAATGCTGCTTTCAGCAGCCCCTAATTATCTCCTGGAAGTAGTCTGAGCAGACTTACAGAGAACACACAAAGAGGTGAGGGCACTAATTACCCCCAAAGGGCATTTTGGCTTCTTATTGGTGTGGCTGAAATATATGTCAGTCCTTACTCTGGCATTCGTCACTGTGCCCTGCTGATCCAAAATTCTATCCCCAGATTTAAATCCATGGATCAATGGAAGATTAAAATAAATCCAGATAGAAACACAGTCAGCAATTTCAACTTCAAGTGAAAATGAATTTATCCTTCTTCACTCCAGCAAGTTGTGCATTCAGTCTGCTGGCAACTTAAAATGGACACAGTTAAAAACTTGAACTCCAATTATTATTACATAGGGAGAACAGCCAAGTGGTTGAAACATAGGCACTGTAGCCAGACTGTCTGCATTTGAGTTACTATGTTTGAGTCCCTGGCCACGTGTTCATGGACAATTTATATAACTCCTCAATTCTTCAGTTTACTTGTCATCAATACAGTACCTTGATCACGGGATTGTCATGAGTTTTCTTCATGAGTTAAGACAAATAAAGCACTTAGCACATTGCCTAGCATGTACTAAATTCTTTGTGTGCCTTAGCTTTTGTTACTATGTAAACAAACATAAACATACAAAAAACATAAACCATGGCCTTTTGTTGCTGATACACTTGCTTGTCCCATGTGTTATACACTCTTTATTTTTTTAATGGACAGCAAAGTGTATTTTTCCAAGTTGAAACTGCTATTGATAAACTATCCCAAGGATGATGATAATTTGATAATTGAGCTGCACATTCTTTAGACTTGTGCTGTTTAATATGGTAGCCACCAGCTACTCATGGCCACTGAGCACTTGAAATGTGGCTAGTCTGGCTTAATGATGATAACATCTTGGATATATTATGTTAAATATATTAATAAAATTAATTTCACCTGTAATTTTTTTTTTTATGTAGCTACTAGAAAATTTAAGATTATATGTGTGGCTTACATAATATTTCTATCAGAGAGCTGCTTTCGATCCAGAGCAGGGAAGCTGTGGGAGGGGCCCGCAGGAACAGATTCCCACCCAGGACCAGGAAGTCCAGTGCACAGAATCCACACGCCCTCATCCCCTGAACCCTGCTCCCTCTTAACACCTGGATGGGTAAATCTACAATCTTCAGGTGGCTGTTTCCTCATCTGTAAAGTACAGACGATTATAACAGTACATACCTCCTACTGTGTACCTGAGCATTGATTTAATATGAACGTTGCTCTTAGAGTGGTACTTGAGGCATAATAACTACGCCATAAATTTGAGCTATGACGCTATTACTGTGGAGCCGATATAAGGAGGATGGGAAAGAGGATGCAGTAGGGAGAAAAGGAAGCATGATAGTTGCTGAGGAAAAAAAAAAAAAATCCAAAAGGCTATTTCACAGATAAAGTAACCGTGACTAAGACATGAGTCGCCATATGACCAATTAGTAACTGAACCCCAAGCCAGGGGTAGAACTCAGGTATAGTGACTCTTATCCTAGCGATCTTCCTACTATGCCATTATGCTCCACCTCCATCCACACCACCACATCCTATCTTCTTGTCTATTTTCCCACTTCGGACACTGGAATGGGAAAACTGAGGAATCTCCGTGCTTTTAAAACCTGTTCATTGAAAGCTCCAGCACCTTTCTGCAGAGGCTTACCTCTGTAAGAGCAAGAACTGTCTCATCTACTAGTCCTAATTCTCTATGTGAATCCCATATTAAAATCCACAAAGACCACAAGGCAAGATGCCTTACCGTTCCAGAGATCCAACCACACAAGGCCTGTGGTCTCCTGGCTCATGCTCAAACCCTCCGATGAGCTCCCTCCATGGGTCTTTGCCCTTGTCTGTCCTCTTCCTAATGCTCATCCCTTAGCCAGATTCAGGAATCACTCCTTACTTCCCTCACTCTTCATTCAAATGTCACCTTTTCAGGAACCCATGTTTAAATCCGCATTTTCTTTCTCCATAGTAATATTATCTATTAATATATAAATGTCAACAAGTGGTTTTAATATCTGTCCGCCTTTCCTAGAATGTGAGTCCCATGAGACAAAGATTTCCAGTGTCTAGAGTAGAGGTTGGCCTGTATGGATGACTAATGAGCACTTGTTGAATGAACAGAGAATTGATGGGTAAATGTTGAAAACATTCTGCCCTTCAAATGCTTACTCCTGGAGGGAGAATTATAGCCTAGTGAGTTCGAATCCTGGCTTAGTTGCTGACTAGCGATGGGACCACGAGGGAGCCAGTTCAGCTCTCTGACCCTCACTTCTCTCATCTCTAAACAAAGAGTGACAACACTCACCTTCTAAGGTGAATTATGTAGAGTAAATGACATATTTTCCATAAAGCATGCCAGGCACAAATTCAGCTGGTAAATAGTAAATAGTCATTTTCATCTCAACATTATAGGATAAATCTATTGGAAGAGAACATTTATTCTGCAAGGCATAATCTCCAACTCCCCAGGGGTAAGCATGCATAACCGATGTTACTCCGGCACAGAAGAAATTCAGAAAATCATATCATCCTGGGTTCTGACATGTTCATATTTAAAAAAAAAAAAAAAATAGATGGAAGCAGATTGATTCATAAGACACTTGAGGTCTCTTTCCATTTTAAGGTTTGTCAAGATTTCATCCCTCAGGATCTAAGATTTAAGACTGCCCCAGACAGATGAGCTAATGATAATGCTGAGCTCACAGTGTAGAAATTTATTGAAAAGTAATCTTTTCCATTTTTTTCCCCAGACTCTTACCAATTGAAAAGAAGTCTTTCTAGATTTCTAATTTCCAGTCCATCATGGAAGGAGCTTATCCTGTCCTCACAAGAAAAAGGGTAAACTAAAAATCAACAACTCTACTTCTATCCATCAGAGAATCGAAGTCACAGGACAAACCACCACTCCCAAGATTAGAGAGACAAACAAATACAGAGAATCACAACTTAATAAAGCAGAAAGCCAAGAGCAGAAACTGCCACTGGCATCAGTACCAGGCAGAAAACAATAGAAAGAACTCCATGGCTCAGTCTTTATTTAAGAAGAAGTCTCTAGGGAAACCCAAAGACAACAGGAGACAAAAACAAGGATGTTAGGAGAAATTTTAGCTTAGGACACCTACAGCTTTAGCAGACAGTAAACAGAGCCTAACTCCTAACCAGATAAACATAAAACTTCACACTAAAGACCTGTTGACCTCAGATCTTTTTGTCCAGCACAAAATGTCCAGCTGCCGTCAACAACAACAACAACAACAAAACTGCAAGGTGTACTGAAAGAAAAAACACAGTGTGAAGAGAGAGAAAGAATCAGAACCAAAACTCAGACGTGGCAGAGATATTGCGACTATCAGGCCAGGAATTTGAAACAACTGAGATATTCGAATGGAAAAAGTGGACAACGTGCAAGAACATATGAATAATGTAAGCAGAGAGATGAAAATGCTAAGAAAGAATAGAGAGGAAATGCCAGAAATCAAAAACGCTGTGGCAGAAATGAGGAATGCCTGAATGAGCTCATCGACAGACTGGACATGGTTGAGAAGAGTTGGGGAGAATGAAGAAAAATGAAGATTCCTTAAAGAAACTGCACTTATTATAAAAGAAATAAATGCTGAACTCCAACTAGGAAATTGGTAGAAGAGCATATCTGAGAAAAGATGCTTGGCATTAGATCAACTTAGTGAACACGAGTTATCTGTTGGGATTATCGCTAATTGAATTCAAGGACTTTAACATTTTACTCGAGTTTTGTGGAGTAAGCATTGTCAAATTGCAATATTTATGACAAACATTTAATGACAAATATATCATGCTTGCTATCTGATGAAATCGCGTTTGTTGGCTAATGAAATAATTTTAAGAGAATGCATTTGTTGGAACGTTTTCATTCATGTGTCATCGTCTTTATTTATTTAGAGCAAAGCACCTGTCTTCATCATCCCCACTTAAATTTATTGTGCATATGTTAGTGCTTCTAAGAAAGCTACTTCCGATCAGCTTTTGTGATGTGCAGTTCCTGGGCTTCAGAACTTATAATTAAATCCTGAATTTAATCTTTTGGGGTTTATTTTTAAACCACCAGCACGATCTTTCTTTCCACTCTTTATATGAGTCTTTTGTTGTTAGTGCACTTGCTACTGCATTTCCTTATTTTAAACCCATCTTGGAGAAATTATTTTGTGAGACTGGACTCACAGGAAAGACAGTGGTTACTATGAAAACTCTAAAATGAATATTTACAGTTTGAGTTGAAGTTATAGGACTCTCTTAACAGAGTCCCGAAGAAAAAGATTCATAGACAAGTTTATTATCTTGAAAGCCCAAAATATAATGTTTAGGGAGCTAATAAATATACTTCTTAGTCAAGCTGCCTGGAATAAAGAATATTTGAACTGTTGTGTTATTCAATTATTTGCAATAACCAGTTATTATTATTAATGTTTGAATACAATACAAATACTTATTGATCATATGTTAGTTTTTTTTTTTCAATGCGGACCTTCTTACAATTTTTCTCTTAGTCCCCAAGAGATGAAAGAATTCTGAAATTTTATGAAATTTTACTGAATTTTTATATGTGTTTTTAAAATTTATTTGTAAGGAGTATTTGCTAACTGTTATATTTTATAGCCCAGCACTGCAAGGATCTCTGCATCATTTTTAAAACTAAAATGGGTAAGTATTTTACTAGAACACTTAACTAAGCTAGGCAGTTTATATGGAATATTCAACACCTCCTCACTTGAAACCTCCGTAAAGGCCTCTACATGCTAGGCCCACCACATTCTTCCATCCCTGTAAAAAATGTTCCAGCCTTTGGGACTCCCCATAGTTTCCTGAACATTCAGGATCTGAGTTTTTTCCTCCGAATCTTCTCCAACACAGACCTGGTGCTTTGGACGAAGTAGGGACAGGAAGCCCACTCCGGCCTCTAGTAAACTCTATTCCCCCAGCACGAGATGGGACTTCGCAGGAGGCTGGGTAATGCTATTCCCATAGTGGCATTTGGGCAGAAACAGACAGAACAACTGCTTTTATTGAAGAAACACCAACCCTCTCATAGCATTTATTCACCTGATGCAGAACCATAAATTGCCAATTAAACTCTAAACCTCTGTATGCAACTAGGCATCCCTGAGCCGTCACTGTGGGAAGAATCAAAGATGTGGGAGAGGGAATCAATTCAAGTGTGAGAAATGGCCAGCACCAAGCAAATTTTTGCCGATCACGGACATCCACTAGCACAGCAAGGAGCGCTCACGGAGGATGTGCTACACGCAAAGCATGATGCTTCATCCTTCAGGAGCTTACCAGATTGTGCTTGAGACAGTCAAGTAATCAACTCATTGCACAACAAAATAAATGGATTTAGTGTTAGTAGAAGTATATTCAACCTGCTGTAAAAAAGCAAACCAGCTTCCTCATGTGCATGTTCATTCATGCATTCATCAACTCAACATCAATTGCCTGCCTACTAAGCTGCATGCTCTGTGCTAGATTCTATGGGCACAGAGCTCTCATTCCAGTGGGGACAGATACACAGGCCAGTTACAGCGAGTCCAGAGTGGGGAAGAGTTCAGAGAAGGTTGCACATAATCACAGCAGTGAATGTTGACTGCCTGTTCCCCACGTATCGGACCTTCCGCTAAGACCTTCATGTGCACTAGCTCATTTATTAAGTTTCATGTGTTATATCATTATTCCCATTAAAGAGTAGGGGACAAATATTTTTCTGAAGAAACTAAAGATATTCACATATAGAAATAATAGTTGACATCTTTTGAGTGTTTTTTTATATGCTAAGGATGATTCCAAGAGCTTTATATATTCCAGAATATTTACTAAAAATGCTATTATTACCCCCATTTTTATACACAGAAAGCTGAGGCCCAGAGAGGTCAAATAACTTAGCCGAAGGTTTTTTACATTAAGTGGCAGAGGTAGGATTTGAGTTCAGATTGTCAAGGATTTTAACCTCTACCTCTTACTCCTCTGCTATGAATGAAGACATTTGAGCTGGATCTTGAGGAAAGCATTTGCCTCATGGAAAAAAGAGCAGGTGTCCCAAGTGGGAGGAGGGTGTACTAGTTTTCTGGGCTACCATACATATCACATTACCACTAACTCAGTGGCTTAAAGAAGAGAAATTTATTCTTTCACAGTTCTAGAGGCTAGAAGTCTAAACTCGAGGTTTTGATAGGGTTGGTTCCTTCCTGAGGCTCTGAGGAAGACTACTATTCATTGTCTCTCTCCTGACTTTTGTTGGCTACTGGCAATCCTTGGCGCTCCTTGGCTTGTAGATGCATTATTCCACCCACATCTTTAATCCTCCACCCTGGAGTGAATTTCTCCTTCTGTTTGCATTTTCTGTCTCTTGTAGGACACCCACCAATGGATTGAGGGCCCACCCTAATCCAGGAAGATCCCAAGATCCTTATCTTAATTACATCTCCAACAATCCTCATTCTAAAGAAAATGGTATTCTGAGGTTCTGGGTGGAAATATCTTCTATGGTCACAATTCAGAGGCTAATGCCATAAAGGGCATATGGCATGTGGCCATAAAATGCATGACAGTTGGGGGAGGTGAGACATACCCCCTACCCCTCTGGGAGGTTCAGGGGTCCTGTGGTCAGGTAGAGATGAGGATGGGGAGGTGTTGGTTCTAGATTAAGAAGAATCTTGCCATGTCCTGTAGGCAACAGGGCATCAGAGAAGAAATTTCGGTAAAGAAGTGACGTGATCTGACTCCACTGGGGGGTTGTGAGTCTAGAAATAAAAAGGAAGGTGGACTAGAGTGAAGGGAATCTGATGGCAGGAGTGGCAGTGGTTACTGGCAGCGTCTTGAACGAGGGCTGCTGGCTTGCGGGTAGTTCTGCTGGAGAGAAGTAGGCAAACCCTGTGGGCAGGTTATCCTTTGAGCTGAGAATTTACTCCTGTATCTGCTTATAACTCTCAATCTATTTTCCCCAGACTCATCAACCTATTCTAACTAAATCTAGAAAATAAGCCTATTTTGCCTCTAAATTAATGGGCAAATGCTTAACCAGTGATTAAAATTATATCTACTTTACTCTGATAGCTCACATGTTGAATAAAGGTATTAATGTCAAATAAGCTAAACTATTAATATCCATTGATGTAAACTATGGGATGAGTTGATGACTTCTGAGTCACTACTTTGCGTGAACTACTCCAAATACAGGTGTACGTCTCCTGATCAGCAGCTTATGCGAACACGTGATGAACAAGAGCCTCATTCGACAATTGCGTTGCTCCATCCCTTATAACCAGCGTAAATGCCCAGCATTTGCCAGATAAATGACAAAATTTCCATTTGCATTCTGATCGTTACATTCGAATGCTTACAATTTCACGTTGTCAAAAAACAGCAACGTTATAAAAGGGAAATGAATGTGATATCAATATATATTCACTTTTAGAAAAACATACAGCATTTCATCTCCATAATAATCACAAGCTCTCTTGTTGAGAATCAAATTCCAAGTTAAGAAGAGTAAATCTGTTCACTTGGAGATTTGTGGAGACCAGAGCTAAGGTGCTTTAAATTATTTTCAAGAACTGATTTGAAAATCTTATTTCTAAGAAGCATTCTTTCTTATTAGAAAAAATTTTAATGTTTCTTGCTCATTTGCCACGAATAATTGCCAATTTTTATTTCATTATTTGTTCCTCATTTGGCTGTCTTAATAACGTGAGAACACTTATGGAATATCTTCGTTGGGCTCCATCGTTGGGCTCTTCTATTTTCAAAAGTTTCCACATGGGTCCAGTACTGTGTCAGAATTAAAAATATATTAAGCTGTCACATTCTCATTATAAATTCTACATTTGGCAAATATATATGTGTGTGTCTATTTATTTTTTCCCCTTGAAATTTCTTTAACTTGTCTCTTTTAATTATAATATTCTTTTAGTTTTAATTCTCATTAGTTTCATGTTAGCTTCTTTAATCAGGTTTCATTTTAGATGCAGATTAATAATAAATTTTTCATGAGGCTTCCATAAGATACTTAAAAAATCTGTCAACTTTGCCTTTTGATAGTGATATTAAAAAATAGTGGTTAATTTACAACAGATGTTTCTCTTTTGGGGTGGGGGAGGAATTCAAAATGTCCATGGGTTGATGGCTATATTAGAAACTTATAAAGAAAAGAAAAAAATGATAGCTCAAATTTAAGGATGGTGTTACCTTTGCAATACTTGGGATAACATGGAACCGAGGAGATGTTCCAGATGATTCCTATTCTCTCTTTTAAACTGGATAAGGGATATACCGGCTATGTGTTTTATTCTTAATCTTTAGACACTTCACATATTTTAGAAATATGTATTTTTATGTATTCAACATTTAGTAAAGACTTTTTTTTTTTTTTTTTTTACAAAAAGAGAGAACCAGAATGTACCAGATGGAAACATGTTCTAGGCCTTCACAAGAAAGCCACATAAATGGCCACCTGGTTCAACAACTGATTTGAAAGTTGAGTAAATACGACTTTTAAATATCTTCCTCTAACCCTACTTCTCAATTCATTTAAAACTTAAATGTGCCAAAATAAAAATAAAAATAAAAAAACAGCAGGCTTTCAAATTGAACACATTTCACTTTTTTGGAACCTCAATCTGAAAAACCGTTATTACAGCAAAGCTAAAAGAACCCAGAATATGCAGCTTCATAAAGTATACGACATATGAGAAACTGAGAGAAATATAGTTCAGCTTTTGGTTTGCAGAGTTTTGTTTTTTTCTAATCTGTTGCTCTTAGTTGTTGTTGTTTTTAACACCTACAGCATCTGGTATTTCTAGGTGGTCTCCCATCCAAGTACTAACCAGGCCTGACCCTGC